GGATGGTTTTGAGACGTCTCAAAACAGAAATCATGAAGTAGTACGAGTGGATGGTTTTGAGACGTCTCAAAACAGAAATCATGAAGTAGTACGAGTGGATGGTTTTGAGACGTCTCAAAACAGAAATCATGAAGTAGTACGAGTGGATGGTTTTGAGACGTCTCAAAACAGAAATCATGAAGTAGTACGAGTGGATGGTTTTGAGACGTCTCAAAACAGAAATCATGAAGTAGTACGAGTGGATGGTTTTGAGACGTCTCAAAACAGAAATCATGAAGTAGTACGAGTGGATGGTTTTGAGACGTCTCAAAACAGAAATCATGAAGTAGTACGAGTGGATGGTTTTGAGACGTCTCAAAACAGAAATCATGAAGTAGTACGAGTGGATGGTTTTGAGACGTCTCAAAACAGAAATCATGAAGTAGTACGAGTGGATGGTTTTGAGACGTCTCAAAACAGAAATCATGAAGTAGTACGAGTGGATGGTTTTGAGACGTCTCAAAACAGAAATCATGAAGTAGTACGAGTGGATGGTTTTGAGACGTCTCAAAACAGAAATCATGAAGTAGTACGAGTGGATGGTTTTGAGACGTCTCAAAACAGAAATCATGAAGTAGTACGAGTGGATGGACCTCCTGCATGCGCAACTAGTGGAAACAGGAATACGAGTCAGATGGCTCAACATTGGACAGGCAGGCAGGGAAAGATGGATAGATGGGTCGACGCTCCCTGGAAACATGGGACTGTTTGAGGGAGAATGGGAGGGAGGCAGGCAGGCAGGCAGGCAGGCAGGCCGACAGGCAGGCAGGCAAACAGAGGAGGTTGGAAATACCTGACAGATAATCTCGCCCCCATGCACAGCTAAGTCCACCTGCAGGGAGGGGTACATGTGTACATGGCATGGGGACAGAACAGACAGTCAGTTAAACGGGCAGACATGCAGACAAGAAGAGGTTACCATGCCAGAAGAAGTTTCTTCCATGACTATGTACATAGAAGGGGTACATAGAAGGGGTACATAGAAGGGGTACATAGAAGGGGTACATAGAAGGGGTACATAGAAGGGGTACATAGAAGGGCTACATAGTCATGGAAGAAACATTGACTTTTGAGTCGACTCAAAAGACACGAGGTGGTCGGGCTGGCTGTGTTTGCAAGAGGTTAAGAGCGGTGGCAATGGTCACAAGAGGGGACTTGTAATGGTACAAAGAAAAAGGCTGACAGAGGATAGAGAGAATGGGAGTTCCAGTTGGTAAGAAAGGGTGCGTCAAGGGTGAGAGAGGGAGAGATGGACGGGAGAGAAGGAGGACAAGACAAGGGCAATTCTCACAGGAAGTATTTTGGCCATCGTGGGTGTTGCAAGTCCTATGTATCCTTCCCCTGGTCCCTGGTTCAAGAACCTGCATGTTGTCAGCACACATGGCATGGCAACAGGCATGGCATTAGGAAAGTTAGGCATGGCATGGCATTGGCAGGTTGGATGCACCATAACCATGTGCATGTGCAAGTGCAACTTGGCATGGCATGCCAGATGTGGTATCTGCAATGTGCCACCATGAAAGTCAAGTCAATCGTACTAGAACCAGACCCTCCGTGCGGGGAATAAAGAAACAACGTATTGCGGCATCTGGGGTGTTGCATCATAGGTTCCTTAGTCGACTCAAAGGTCACCTTACCTATCTGTCCCGTCCCACCTCTCCACTCCCCTCCCCACCTCCTCCCTCCCGTCTCTTCCCCCTTCCCCCTCAAAAGTACAAACCACTCACGTGTTGGTGAAAAAGCTCTCTCCCGACAGCCACAGTCACACACTGCCCTCCATTCGCTCCCTCTCACTGTCCTTGTTCTCTCTTTTCACTCTGCATCCCCTGTTCCCATACCACCCCCTCACCCCTTCCTCCCCCCCCCATGGCGCTCACGTGTTGGTGAAGAAGCTCTCTCCTGACAGCCACCGCCACACACTGCCCTCCTCCATTGCTGTCTCTGCGCTCATGTTACCACTCATGTAACACATGGCGCCTGGGAGGGAAACGGGAGGAAGGGGGGGAGGGGGAGGGGATGTTATCTCTCATCCATTCTCTCATCCTCCATTGCTGTCTCTGCGCTCATGTTTCCACTCATGTAACACATGGCGCCTGGGGTGTTGGTGGCGGACGAAAGGGGGTTCAGGGGAGAGAGGGGGGGGGGGGGGGGGTAGAACTGGTAGCATACACTGGTAACTACACTACACACACTCTCTGCACTGGCGAGTCTTAAGCTGACTCAAAACTCGTTCCGCCCACACTCTCCCCACTGGCGCGAGGATGATGATGTAACCACTGTCTCCTTCCCTCTTCCTCTTTTCCTCCCTTTCTTCCTTTTCTGTTCTCTTCTCACCCTCTCTTCTCACCTCTTCTCTAAAATCTTCTCTCACCTCTTCTCTCATCTCTTCTCTCACCTCTTCTCTCACCTCTTCTCTCACCTCTTCTCTCACCTCTTCTCTCACCTCTTCTCTCGCCTCTCTTCGCACCTACCGGTTCTGTTCTGCTCAGTACCCCACCTGGTTCTGCGCATATTCTCTCCCCTGGCTTCAGAACGATCTGCACTATCTGCACCTCCCCTCCTCGTTTCCGTCCTCGTTCCTCTCCTCGCTCCCCTCCTCTCGTCTCATCTCACCCTCAACCAGCACACTGACCCGCACCCCCTTTTGAGGCGCCTCAAATTTTTTTAGGCGACTTTTGAGGCGACTTTTGAGGCGACCTTTGAGGCGCCTCAAAAGTCCTCTCCTCGCTCCCCTCCTCTCGTCTCATCTCACCCTCAACCAGCACACTGACCCGCACCCCCTTTTGCTCAGGACCGCACCTGGTTCTGCGCGCACTCTCTCACCTGGCTTCAGTATAATCTGCACTATCTGCGCCTCCCCTCCTCTCCGCTCCTCACTCTTTCATCCTCACCCACAAAAACGACTCGCACCTGGTTCTCCTTGGAAACCCACCTGGTTCTCCTTGGAAACCCACCTGGTTCTCCTTGGAAACCCACCTGGTTCTCCTTGGAAACCCACCTGGTTCTCCTTGGAAACCCACCTGGTTCTCCTTGGAAACCCACCTGGTTCTCCTTGGAAACCCACCTGGTTCTCCTTGGAAACCCACCTGGTTCTGCACGCACTCTCCCCCCAGCTTCAGAATGATCTGCACTATCTGCGCCTCCCCTCCCCTCGCATAATCTCTCATCCCGAGTCAACTCACTGAACCGCACCTGGTTCTGCGCGCACTCTCTCCCCTGGTTTCAGTATAATCTGCACTATCTGCGCCTCCCCTCCCAGTATCTGAAACGGCGTGAGCACTGCTTGAGGGCTCTGTGCAGGGGACGGGGAGAGAGGGAGGAGGGAGGGAGAGAGGGGGAGGAGGGAGGAAGCGGAGAGATACCACTTTTCACTAAATACAGTTGAAGTTCAGGTATCACGCCCTGTTTAACATATCTGTTATTTGACGTATCCAACTTGGTACACCTCATATCTGTTACACGTCATATCTGGTACACGTCATACCTGGTACATATATGGCTGAAACGGCGTATTGAGCGTAGGAACTGCCATGATTCACGGCTCAACACTCCTCCTCACCCCTCCACACCCCTCCCTCCTTCCTCCACCACCCTCCACTCAACCGGCCTACCCCCAACCCCTGATTAAGGAATCAGCACCCGCAACCGTTATGTGTAGGCAGTAACCACGCCACTAAGCACTTAGCACTAACTTAGAGGCAAATCTTTAAGAAGCCCCAAGAGGCAACTCGTCACCAAGGCCTGGAACGAGTCAGAGGCCTAGACTTTCAAAACGCAGCGGGAAAACCGAGGGGTTTCATTGGAGGGAGGATCGGTGAGAAGCGATAAGAGGCGAGGAATCCACCACAAAGGCACCAAGAGAAGCGGCTGAACCGATTCGTAACCTCCTTTTTCTGCTCTCGCCGCTGCTGCTGCTGCTGTTGCTCCTGCAGTTGCTGCTGAAGCTCTGCGGATTCTACTACCACTCACACTCGTGGTTCTGAATCACTCTGCAACTCCATGCGAACACTAACTAACAAGTGTTACGTAGTAAAAGCCTTCGCAGCCCAGCTTCCCTAGAAATCCACCTAAGACTCCTGACTCCCTCTTTGTATGTGCACGCTACGTACGAGCGGTAACTTGCTCTTTCCCTCCTTCCCTCGCTTCTGCTTTTCCTACTCTCCCCAAGCACCCTCGTTCGCTCTCTCCCTATCTCCTTGACGAATTTACAAAATACGCAAGGAGGACGTCACAGGGGCTGAGAACATGTGACAGATGCGGATAAAAGGCCTGAATTATTATTGCAGAAGCAACGAAGCATTTGACGGGACATTCAACCCCACAGCGATAAACTCGGCAAGAGAAGCAACTCATTCGTTTCTAGAAATGCCTTCGTGAAACGGTGTTCCCATTTAGGTACAACCCATAAACGTTGAAAATCATAAACGGCAACAGCTTAGCATGAACATATTTATAATGTTGTTCATTCAGCTCCATTCGCTTGCTCCTATTTTCATAATTATTTCACAAAATATAATATCTGGTATTATACCATTACAGAGTCTTGTTTATGTTTCACTGCTAAAATAAATCAATATTATCTGATATGACAGGTCCTCCAATACATATATCTCCAATGACCGATACAGATGTAGTTATTTGAACTCAACACTCAGATGCATGCATGGTGAGCCTAGGGATTCTTTAGGGTCCATGTCAGCCAGAACACTCCCAACCAGAGACCTTCGATTTGCTTCGCTTCACTCACCCCCACACATTGACCCTTCAACAAAGTCACAAAAATCTGCCAATTTGAGTCAATTCGAGTGACACTGAAGGCAAACCAAATCACTCTCCAATCTGCACTGCTACATCTCTTTTCTCCCCGCGCGCGACATCAAAATCAGTACCACTGACTGCAACGCAATTCTTCAGCCCTTGCCCGCGTAACCCACGCTCGAGCCCTCATTCCCACTCACCGCATGGAGGCTCTGGCTTCTCCTGCTGCGCAGGCGTGTTCCGCCTCCGCGCACTCCTCGCTCCGCGCGTCGTCCCCCTCCCTCGGCGGAGGCGGACTGCGCAATGCGGCTTCGCTGCTACCGCTCCGCTCCGCGGGTCTCGTAAAGAAGTCGCTATGTCGACCATCTCACGCTGTCGCTGCTGCTGATAATAACCAACGGCCGTCCGCAATTCGCGCTGGTAGCAATGCGCCGGACGATGCGGCGGCAGATGCGCTGTGCCGGCGGCAAGTTCTCGGAGCGCTGGCGATCGCGCCGACTCTGCTGATGGCACCGCGAATGGCCCTCGCGGAGGAAGCAGCGGTGGCGGTGACGGGAGAAGAAGTCGCTGCGGGATCGCCGGCGGGATCCGCGGCGGGGGACGCGCCGCGAGTGACGGAGAAGGTGTTTCTCGATATTGCCGTGGACGGCGCGCCTGTGGGGCGGCTGGTGATAGGCGTTTACGGCGAGGTATGGCATGGCGAACTAGTGAGGGGAGACGAGGGGTTGGGGGAAGGGAGGGGAAGGGGAAAGGGAAAGGGGGAGGAAGAGACGGGAATGGGAGGCGGGGGTGAAAGGATTTGAGGGACGTGCGCAAGGCAAGGCGTAACTCGAGAGGAGGCAAGGTGAGGTACGGGGACGGGGAGAGGCGAGTCCGTCTGTCGCAATCAAACGCTATGTAGTGCAAGCGCAAACCCCACATGCGCTGCTAATTAATGAAAGGGGAATGCAAGGAGATGCAATTGAAAGCAGCGCAATGCAGTGCACCTCTCAATACACGAGGAATGTAAACGCGAAAAGCAAGATGGCTCAACGCAATTCAACGCAACGCAATGCAGCTTGCGCGACTTGTGAACCGTGCGGTTCCCCGCCCCGCCACCCTCCCCCAGGCCGCGCCAATCGGAGCAGCGCGGTGCGCCCAGCTAGCCAAGGGCGCAAACGTCAGAGGAAAGCAGGCGCACCAACGCAATGCAGCAAGCACCGCACTCCTTGGCACTCTTCCCCTTCCTCCATTGCAATGCAACGCAATGCAGCGAGTGCGACATGTGAACCGTGCAGCTCGAAAGCCAACCGACCATCCCCCCCTCCCCTCCCCACCCCCCCACCCCACTCCACCGCTCTCTTCGGCATTCCAACCCTCCATTCTCCCCCCAGGCCGCGCCAATCGGAGCAGCGCGGTTCGCGCAGCTAGCCAAGGGCGTGGCGGGCGTGTCGTACCGGCGAAAGGACTTCCTCCGCCTCACCGACTCCTACGTGCAGGGCGGCGCGCTGCGCTCCTTCTCCCTCACCGGCTCTGCTGCTGATCCTGCTGCTTTTGTCGGCGGCTTGGACGCGGATGCGGTCGCGCAGGAGCTGCAGCAGCTGCAGATGTACGTGTGGTGTGGGGGATGCGAGTTGTGCTGGTGCTGGGTGGTGCTCCTTCCCCCCCGTTCCCAGAGCAAAGCCCGGGCCAGTATACAACAAAGCCTACTCCGTTGCCCTTTTTGGTCCGACCCAAAACTCATTTTTCCCATCCTCCTCCCCTCCTCCTCCCCTCCCCCCCTTCTTCCAGAGCAAAGCCCGGGCCAGTCTACAACAAAGCCTACTCCGTCGCCCTTTTCGCTGTCGACCCAACCATCCCCCCTCCGAAGCAAAAGCTGGTGGCACGAGGGGGAAAGTTCGAGGTGGTGGAAGAGGCGTTGAAACCGGCCCCCAACGGCACCGAGTTTGCCGTCTCCTTTACAGACTGCCCCGAGTTAGATTCCACGCACCTGGTGGTGGGACGGGTGCTGGATGGGTTTGGAGTCTTGGAGAAGGTTCGGGAGGTGCCGTTTGTGCGGGACGGCGCTGACAACGGATTTTTCAAGTTAGTATATATGGTTCTGGCTGTTTCCTTGGGTTGTGCTATGTGATTGGTATGGTTATGGTTGCTGGTACCATGAGTGCTGTTGTGTTTGCTGTCGCGATTGCTATTGGTGTTTCTGTTTTCATTGTTCTCCTGTCGCTATCTGTCTGCCTGCTCTCCCCTCCTCTGTGCCCTTACCTGACCCTCCTTGTGCCTTATTCCTGTGTTCTTGTCTGCTGACCAGTTATTTCATATGCAACTATACAATCATCCCATTCACCTAACATGTACCTCGCGCTGGTGTCATAGGGTTTCAACAATCCTTGTTTCACTGTCTGTGTCCTTCCAGGGCTGCTAAATTGATAGGTGACACCAGGGCTACAGTAGCAGAGAGGGGATTTTATCGTCCATACAAGAAGATTACTATCACCAAGTCAGGTGTTCTAGCATAACTGTTAAGGCAACGTTTGCAGATCCTAGTACAGTGGTTGCAAACCACAAGTACCGTGTTACTTTTCGCTTAGAATGTGTAAGCAATTGAAAATATGAATTGTTCAGGTTACTGTAGAAAGGATTTGCATCATTGCTGTACAAGCACCAACAGGCGTCGTGACAATGGAGACCCACTGTACCACGCCCCACCCCTCGCTTCGAAGTTCACACACCTTCTGGATAACTTCATTCACCACAGCAAAACCTTGGCCCACCATCATCCAAGTTCTGGCCATCATCCATTGCTAGATACGGTACTAAAGCTCTGACCTTTGTCCTCGTCTTCCTGGCAGTCTTGTGCGTGCTGATGTCCCGCCGCTGTTGTCGCGGTTCAACAGCCGTAGTATCCAGTTTCTCCTCGTTGCTCTCCCAGTTTTAATCTCGCTGTATGCTACCGCAGGCTAAACTCGCGCTATCTACCGCGAAGCTCAGAATGGACCCGTACCATCACACGCTGCAGTCATCACTAGATCCCTACAGTTCCGGCCCTAATCCGTCAAATTACATGCAGCAACAGCACTATCACCAGCAACACCAGCAGCAGCAACAGCAGCAGCAGCAGCAGCAACAGCAGCAGCAGCAGCAGCAGCAGCAACAGCAGCAGCAGAGTTACTACAACCCATCATCGTCGCTTCAACAGCCTGGCATGCGCGACGGCCACCGATCAGACTATACCGCGTATGGTTCGGCCGGCGCATACTCTGGCCAGGGCTATGCGGAAACGTCGCCTGGAGAGGGTGCAATGCGAGGGATGAATAAGCGAGGCCTCGATTCAGGTGCGATTGTGGGCCGAGCCATGGATTGCCTGGTTCCTAGCTTTGAGATTACGTTTTTTTTCCTCTTTTTTTTTCATTGTGTCGCCTGCTGGGGGTGCGGCGGGAGCGGTTATCAAGCGAGGTTCAGATTCATGTGCAATTTGGAGCCATTTGGCTCTCAGCTTGTTTGCTTTATTCCGTATTCGTCGCGTTTAAAAGGCTTGGGGAGTAAAATTGTATGTCCATTATATCATATTGCGTATCGTTCAGTTGGGTCCCTTATGTATTAATGATATCAGGCGCGTTTGTGCCGATTGTTGGCTTTGTGTGTTTCTATCTGCATGCATGTCCGAATGTGCGTCGTGCATATCTGTTAACGTGGTTATGCATTTTCTTATGATGCACGTGTGGTTTGTTTGTGTTCCTCTTATGCATCAATCAACCATAACTGGCATGGGTTCCAATTTATACGGTGTATGCCACTGCAACGGTGCATATACCAAACGCTCCCTCCTCCACCATAATTACTACTATTAATCGGGTAATACCCTTCCTGTATTGGTTACTCCGCGTGTACCCCTTTCCGCATTTCAATGTCTTGAACTTTTGTCGTATCATTATATCTTATATGCCTCTGTCACATGCTAAATTGATTCGCACGTCGTTATATCATGCTATATTTCTCTACTTCTTAAATCCTCCGCTCTATAACTGTCATAATATATCCCAACTACGTTGTTGAATATATTAAAAAAAAAAACAATCTTCAGGTGCTTCCCCTTCCTCCCATTATAACTATTACGAGTACCCTTCCAAACGGCTCCAATTTGGCAGCACCAATCCCACTCCTCTCCCTCCATCCTCCCATTCTGACCCCTCCTACCCCTCCTCCCTCTACCTATCACCTGCCGCTGACGCTGCTTCTACCTTCCCCAGTAGCACCTACTACGACTCAAACGCCACAGGCCTAGGCTCTGGCGCAGAAGCATTCTATTCCACAACCCAGCAACAGCAGCAGCAGCAGCAGGAAGCGCAGGAGCAGGCGCTATACCCGGTCAGGCCAGGGGAGAAAGAGTGTGCCTACTACATGCGACATGGCAAGTGCAGTTTCGGCGCCACATGTCGTTTCCACCACCCGCCTCGCTCCTCCTCCTTCTCCGCCGCCGCTCATTTCCCCTCTTCCGCCCCCTCCGCCCCCTCCGGCCCCTCCGGCCCCTCTGCCCCGTTCGCCCCATCCGCCTCTGCTGCTTACGCGAACCCGTCTGCCTCTGCTACAGTGGCGGTGGCAGCGGCAACAGCGGCAATGCTAGCAGCAGCAGGCGCCGCAGCAGCAGGGGGTGTTTATCCCAGTGGTTATCCAGAGAGGCCTGGTGAACCAGACTGTGTGGTATGTTTGTTTCCCCATGCATGCACTTGTCTTCTGAGTTGACTCAAATGCCAGCTTTTCCAGTGAGGCTTGGTGAACCAGACTGTGCGGTATGTTGTTTTCCGCCTTACACGCTTTCCCGTATTCCGCCCTCTCCCCTGCACCATTCGCTCTCCCCCCTCCCCCCACCCACACCCCCACGCTTCTCCCAATTCTCCACTTTATTTCTTGTCTTACCTACTCCGCTCTCTCTATACACCTCCTTTCCCACCAGTGTTTCTGCCTTTATATGGTCCAATGAACGGAATTAGCCCCAGCCCGCATCTTCCTCCGCTCCGCTCCCTCCTCCTCCTCCCACACTCCCCCCCTCTTCTCCCCTCTCTCTCCCTGCACTTTCTGTCCTCTTTCCCTCTCCTCCACCCCCTCCTCCCGCTCCTCCCCTCCCCATTCTCCCCCTTCCTGCATGCATGCGTGTGTGTTCGTCCATTCCGTCCCTCCCTCCCTCCGTCCCTCCATCCCTCTCCCTCCATCCCTCTCCCTCCATCTTTCCGTCCTTGTGTCCTGCCTGCATCCCTCCTGCCACCTGCAGTTTTACATGAAAGCTGGGACATGCAAGTTTGGCGCGACCTGCAAATTCAATCACCCGCCCGACCGCCAGCAGCAGCAGAAACAGCAGTCGAACGCGGGGGCTTCTCATGGGAACTACAAGCAGCAAGGCACAGCTACTGACGCAGCCGCCGCCGCCGCCGCCGCAGCAGCAGCCGCTGCAGCGGCAATGGTAGGCCCTGCGGAACGTCCAAAGAATAGCGTTACAGGAGCAGGAGCAGCAGCAGCAGAAGGAGGAGCAGGAGCAGGTGGGGATGAAGGGAGTGGTGAGGAGAAAATTAAGGGATTGGTTGGCGAGGAGGGTGAGGGGGACGAGAAGGGTGTTGGGGAAGAGAAGGAGGAAGGGAAGGAAAAGGAGGGGAAGGAGAGGAGTGAGGGGGAGGAAGGCGGAAAGGGTGCTACTTTGGAAGGTAGAGAGAATAGCAGTGGTGGTGGTGCTAGTGATGGTAGTGGTGGTGGCAGTGGTGCCGATGCTAGTGGTGCCGATGCTAGTGGTGCCGGTGCTAGTGGGGGTGGTGCTAGTAGTGGCGGCGCCAGTGGGGCCAAGGGCAAGGGGCAGTTTGGCAAGCCAGCCGCGCTCAACTCAGTGGGTCTGCCTCTCAGGCCGGTGAGTCAGCACGGGGGTGGGGGAATGGGGGCACAGGGGTAAGGGGGAAGGGGGAAGGGGGAAGGGGGAAGGGGGAAGGGGGAAGGGGGAAGGGGGAAGGGGGAAAGGGGAAAGGGGAAAGGGGAAGGGGGAAGAGGGAAACGGGAAGGGGGAAGAGGGAAAGGGGAAGGGGCAAGATTGAAAGGGGAAGGGGGAAGAGGGAAAGGGGAAGTGGATAACGAGGATTAGGTTGAAGGAGAAAGCATAGTTAGCGAGAGCTGGTGGTGGATGGGGTGGGTGTGGTGGATGGATGGGGAAGACGGGGGTGTGGGTGAAAGGAACAGAGGGGGGAAGGGGAAGGAATGGAGCAAATAGTGTGCCCTTGTGGTAATAAAAATGGTGTGACCTTTGTCTATCAAGAGTTAGTGAAGCTTTGAGACGAAGATTCTGTGACCTTTGTCTTGAGACATCTAAAAAGAACTCGATTTTGTTTTTGCGTGTGCACAGGGTCTCGTTTCACAGCAAGGCAACTGCTCTTTGTTGCATTTTTTTTTTTTTTTTTTTTTTCTGTTCTCTGTTTTACGCATGCTTCAGGAATCAGAACTGGTATTTGCCTCTGTTCTGTGCGTGCATGTTGCGTCTGGGTGTTGTGTTCCGTGCGCTCGCATGTGCGTGGGGGATGGGAGTGTGTGTGTATGTGTGTGATTGTGTGTGTGTGGGATGGGAGTGTGTGCATGCTGTTTCTGGCCAGGGAGAGACAGACTGTGCTTTCTACCTGAAGAATGGAAGGTAAAGGCACCATGGAAGTTTAGGTGACTTTTGAGCTGACTCATTAGACACCTCACTATGGAAGTTTTGCTCATCTGAACCTCTTGCGAGCCTACCTCCTCTTGCGAGCCTACCTCCTCTTGCGAGCCTACCTCCTCTTGCGAGCCTACCTCCTCTTGCGAGCCTACCTCCTCTTGCGAGCCTACCTCCTCTTGAGAGCCTACTTCCTCTTGCGAGCCTACCTCCTCTTGCGAGCCTACCTCCTCTTGCGAGCCTACCTCCTCTTGCAAGCCTACCTCCTCTTGCGAGCCTACATCCTCTTGCGAGCCTACCTCCTCTTGCGAGCCTACCTCCTCTTGCGAGCCTACCTCCTCTTGCGAGCCTACCTCCTCTTGCGAGCCTACCTCCTCTTGCGAGCCTACCTCCTCTTGCGAGCCTACCTCCTCTTGCGAGCCTACCTCCTCTTGCGAGCCTACCTCCTCTTGCGAGCCTACCTCCTCTTGCGAGCCTACCTCCTCTTGCGAGCCTACCTCCTCTTGCGAGCCTACCTCCTCCAAACCTCTCTTTTCTTCCCTCCCTCCCTTGCTGCACTCGCCCAATCTGATTTCTCTGCCCTGCACTTCATCGTTGTTCTCAGACAGCCTTTCTCGTTCACGTTTGCTTGCAACTCATCTTTCCTATTGCCAACCAATCCAATCCTTCCTATTGCTAATCAATCCTCCCAGCACACTTCGTCCTCCCTTCCCCTCCCAAACCCCTCTCCCTCCCCTCGCCACGCTCGTTCCTCACTCCTTTCTTTTCGCCTGACCTGCTGTTCCCAAGCATCATCTGTCTGCCTATTCTTCATTTGTTCCTCGGATCCTCTTGTGTCATTCCTTCCCACAAGGCCTCAGCTCCGCTCGTCTCATGCGCTTTCACTCGCCCCTCATTCCCTTCGCTGTCCCACTCCTCCCACCTTTCCTCCTTGCCGTCCCCATCCTTCCCCTCCGCAGCTGCAAGTTCAGTCAGAACTGCCGGTTCAACCATCCAGAGCCATCCGCCCTCGCATCACCTGCAGCAGCAGCCAATGCGGTGGCCTCTGCCCGCCCCTCTGCTCCTGCTCTCTTCCGTGCGTCTCTCTGTGTCCCTTTGGCTCTGCGGCTGTCTGTCTGTCTGTCTGTCCGTCCGTCCGTCCGTCCGTCCGTCCGTCCGTCCGTCTGTCTGTCTCTGTCTGTCTGTCTGTCTGTCTGTCTGTCTGTCTGTCTGTCTGTCTGTCTGTCTGTCTGTCTGTCTGTCTGTCTGTCTGTCTGTCTGTCTGTCTGTCTGTCTGTCTGTCTGTCTGTCTGTCTGTCTGTCTGTCTGTCTGTCTGTCTGTCTGTCTGTCTGTTTGTCTATCTGTCTATCTGTCTGTGTGTCTGTCTGTCTATGTTTCTGTCCAGCCGTCCAGACGTCTGTCTGCCTGTGCATACGTGCATATGTCGTTACGTCTTACCGATAATTTTTTCCATCCATCTGACGACTCTCCCTCCTCTCCCTCCTCCTGCTGCTTCCCCCCTCCTCATGGCTGTCAGGTTCCCCAGTGCACTCACCGTTTCTGATCCCACAAAGGGTGAGCTATCCTGCTATCTTGCACCTTATTCCGCTCCCTGCACCATGCTTCTCGTCCCCTCTGCTCCTCTTCTTCCTCCAATCCTCACTGCATGCTTCTCGTCTCCATCTGTTAACGGGCGTATTGTTTAAGACGCGAGTTGTGAGTTGAGGTGCCTCGAATCGCTTTTTGACGACCATGTTCCTCTCACTGTTGCCACCCAATCACTCTGCCACCCGCTCTGCCACCCACTCTGCCACCCACTCTGCCACCCACTCTGCCACCCTCTCTGCCACCCACTCTGCCACCCACTCTGCCACCCACTCTGCCACCCACCCTGCCACCCGCTCTGCCACCCTCTCTGCCACCTGCTCTGCCATGTTGCCACCATGCCATCGCCCCGCCGCCTTATTGAACCCCCTTGTTTCCATGCACTCATGCATACAACACACGCCGACTCTCCCATCTGTTTTGTATATGCGAGATTCAATCAACCCTGAACCCCAAACCCCATTTCGATCCCCTTTCGATCCCCTTTCCACTCCGTACACCCATTGAAGCTCTATCTGGTCCCTGTTCGCTGCTTACAGCCTTACACTCATCAGGCCTCTCATTCATCCCCTTCCTTCCTTTTCTTCTCCTCTCATCCCCCAGCTCCTTTCCCACCAGTCTGGCGTGCTCTCCCCAAGTGACTTATGAGTCGACTCTAAAGTCACCTCAGAGCTCTCATTTCTCCTCTTCCTTCCTTCCTTCCTTCCGTCCTTTCTTTCTCCTCCAGCTCCTTCCCCACCAGTCTGGCGTGCTCTCCCCAGGCCCCTCCCTCCCGCTGCTGCCACCCACGGCATCGCCCATATCAATGCTGCAGCTGCACCGACAACAGCAGTACCAGCAGCAACAGGAGCAGCTTCACCAGCACCACCAGCAGCAGCTGCAACAGCTGCAGCAGCAGCAGCAGCAGCAGTTCCCGCAGCGGCCAGGGCAGCCGGAATGCGCAGTGAGTGACTGGTGCATCAGCCTGTCCTGCCCCCTGCCCCCTGCCCCCTGCCCCCTGCCCCCTTCCCCCTGCCCCCTGCCCCCTGTTCCCTGCCCCCTGTTCCCTGCTCCCTGTTCCCTGCCCCCTGTTCCCTGCTCCCTGTTCCCTGTTCCCTGTTCCCTGTTCCCTGCCCCCTGCCCCCTGCCCCCTGCCCCCTGCCCCCTGCCCCCTGCCACCTGCCCCCTGCCCCCTGCCCCCTGCCCCCTGCCCCCTGCCCCCTGCCCCCTGCCGCCTGCCCCCCGCCCCCTGCCCCCTGTCCAGCACTGATCTTCGTTTTGCTCACACTCTTCCACTTCCATTGTTGAGGCATGTTAGTCACTTCATCTCACCACCTACCTACCTTTCCTCCCGTCATTCCAGTTTTACGTGAAGACTGGAAGCTGCAAGTACGGGCCTTCCTGCAAGTTCCACCATCCCGCAAAGCAGCAGCAGCAGCAGCAGCAGCAGCAGCATCACCTTTCACCATCACCATTGCCATTCCCACTGGGCGGTGGGGGAATGGGAGGAGGAGGAGGCGGAGGAGGAGGGGGTGGAGGAGCAGGAGGACTGGCTATGTTCTTCCCTCCGCCTTCTCATGTGCACCTGTCCTCCTCTCCACCCATGCATCCTGTGTTTCGGCACCATGCTGCTGCCACCGCCTCTCCGTCTCCTTCTCATGCTGCTGCTGGTTTGCTGCCAGCGGGAGTGACTCTCTCTGCTGCAGGCCTCCCTCGCCGCAAGGTAGCCACAGGTCACCCTAAATCCTGCCTACTTCTTTACTCTGTAACCAACCCACTTACCTACCTACCTACCTTTTTTCCCGCCTACCTACTTACCTTTTTTCCCACCTACCTATCTATTTTCCTACCTACCTACCTACCTACTACCCACCCACCTACCCACCTACCTCTTCCGCACTCCATGTTTTCTTTCATTTCCCTTACTCACCAGCACCCTTTTTCTTTGCCTCTTCCCCACCAGTTGACCCCAATGATCTTTCCCCAGTACTTCCATACTCATCTTCCCCGCCCTACCATGTTTTCTTGCAGTCTTACCGTCCTTTTTTTTAATCATTTTTTTCCTTCAAATAACAGATGCAGCAAATCTGTGTTTTTTTTTTTTTTCCTTAGTAGCCCGCACCTCACCAAAACTACCTCACATTCTATGCATTCTCACTCGCTCTGTGTCTTGTGCTGCTTCCCCCTCCATTTCTTTCAGGAAGCGGTGTCATGTGCCTTTTATATCAAGGTGCACCTTCTCTCACGCCACTTACCTGTTTCTTCCTCTCTTGCTGCCTGTGTCTCTCCATAGCCCACCGTATTTCACCCCAGTTTCCCCCTTCACATTTCCGAAGTCTTTTTTTTTTTTTTTTTTTTTTTTTTTTTTTGCTCTTTTTTTTCCACCACTAGCTCTCCATGTTCGTTTACAGTTTACTCTCCTGTTCTTTCCCTGACGGAGGTGTCGTGTGATGCATGTACTCACTCTTGAACTGTCAACCAAGCCCTTCATTGACTCCATTCTTTCATTCAGTTCAACAGCCATTTGTTGCTTACCCTTCCACCTCTCACCTTTCACCGCTCACCTCCCTCCTCTCACCTCTCCCCTCTCCCTCCTCTCATACCACCCATGTCCGTCGTTCCTCCCCTCCACCACCTCCCACCCCCACCCCTCTCCAAACCCCACCTCCCCTTTGAATTTCGTCACACTGTTTCCCCTCAGACTGGCACCTGCAAATACGGGGTGACTTGTAAGTTTGACCACCCCCCTCCCGGAGAGGTGGCAGCCAAAGCTGCTTCCGAAGCTGCTGCTGCTGCAATGGTAGGTGCGGCAGGCAATAGTGGGACGGTTAATGCAGAGGCAGCGGACGTGAAGGAGGAAGAGGGGAAGGATGAGGAGGGCGAGCAAAAGGAGCAGGGCGGTGAGGAGGAAGACTTGGAAGTAGAGTAGAGTAAGGCTGGAGGAGGTTAATGTGTGGTGGGTTGGGCAGCAGGCACATGTGGTCCGCTATGCCAATATTATTAAAGTGTGTGTGTGTGTGTGTGTGTGTGTGTGTGTGTGTGTGTGTGTGTGTGTGTGTGTGTGTGTGTGTGTGTGTGTGTGTGTGTGTGTGTGTGTGTGTGTGTGTGTGTGTGTGTGTGTGTGTGTGTGTGTGTGTGTGTGTGTGTGTGTGTGTGTGTGTGTGTGTGTGTGTGTGTGTGTGTGTGTGTGTGTGTGTGTGTGTGTGTGTGTGTGTGTGTGTGTGTGTGTGTGTGTGTGTGTGTGTGTGTGTGTGTGTGTGTGTGTGTGTGTGTGTGTGTGTGTGTGTGTGTGTGTGTGTGTGTGTGTGTGTGTGTGTGTGTGTGTGTGTGTGTGTGTGTGTGTGTGTGTGTGTGTGTGTGTGTGTGTGTGTGTGTGTGTGTGTGTGTGTGTGTGTGTGTGTGTGTGTGTGTGTGTGTGTGTGTGTGTGTGTGTGTGTGTGTGTGTGTGTGTGTGTGTGTGTGTGTGTGTGTGTGTGTGTGTGTGTGTGTGTGTGTGTGTGTGTGTGTGTGTGTGTGTGTGTGTGTGTGTGTGTGTGTGTGTGTGTGTGTGTGTGTGTGTGTGTGTGTGTGTGTGTGTGTGTGTGTGTGTGTGTGTGTGTGTGTGTGTGTGTGTGTGTGTGTGTGTGTGTGTGTGTGTGTGTGTGTGTGTGTGTGTGTGTGTGTGTGTGTGTGTGTGTGTGTGTGTGTGTGTGTGTGTGTGTGTGTGTGTGTGTGTGTGTGTGTGTGTGTGTGTGTGTGTGTGTGTGTGTGTGTGTGTGTGTGTGTGTGTGTGTGTGTGTGTGTGTGTGTGTGTGTGTGTGTGTGTGTGTGTGTGTGTGTGTGTGTGTGTGTGTGTGTGTGTGTGTGTGTGTGTGTGTGTGTGTGTGTGTGTGTGTGTGTGTGTGTGTGTGTGTGTGTGTGTGTGTGTGTGTGTGTGTGTGTGTGTGTGTGTGTGTGTTTTGTTTTGTTTTGTTTTTTAATGTTCATAGCAAAGACGTGTGGATTTGCGTTGTTGATGTGGAGGGATGTAATTTAGGATGCCAAGGAGAGTTTTCCTATAAGCTGACTACATCACACTTGACACTGAAGCATTAATAACCGGTATGGTTTCACTGAATTTGACTTTTTTTTAAAACTTTCCATCCTGCTGCCAGGTTCTTTTTTCGATCGGGACCGCTCTAGCGAAGCGAAGCGGCGCCTCAAATCGACGGCGCTGGCTCACCATAGCTTCAGCGGCCAGCGTCGTCCGATGAAGCATCGAGCATTTGGAGGTGCCACGTGCTGGTTTCAGACTCGTAAGGTTGACCCGCGTGTCGGCTCCGCCGGCGGCTCAGCGAACGAGATGCCAATGCCAACTACTCCAGCTACTTCGCCACATCGCTGAGATTTCTTCGCGAAGATGCTCATCGTCGCCAGGCCGATCTGCATCGTTGGCGACGTTCGCCCTTGCCCGACACTCATGTTCGCTCACTTCTCGCTTCCCACACGCGAAATGAGTCCGACGCGTCGTCAAAGTCGTCTTGAAATTCGCCCGTCGTCCAAACCGCGTCGCGCCACATTCGCCCCAACTTCCGCCCTTCCTTGCATCTGTGTCGCGCCAGATTCGCCCGTCATGAAATCCGTCCCCGCACGCTGTCTTCCCCTTCCCCTCCCCAATTTCCCCCGCATTTTCCTCTCGCCCCTCTCTCCTTTCCTCATTTCGGCTCCCTTACGCGCCTCTCCCCTCCCTCCCTCCCATTCCACGGCCCTCTTTCCCTTCCCACACGCGCTTCTTCTTCCCTTCACCTGATACTCGCAAGCAACCTCGCCTCGTCATCACAGCTCGAAATTCAAGCCCATCCCACCAGGTGGCTGTGACATCCAAAACCAGTCCGTCTCACAACCCCCCGCGTGGACTACACACCAATTTTTCTGTGCAAAGCCACACGTACTGAGTAGTCTAACCTGGCAGTCCCCCACACTCCTCGTCCCCTCTACCATGGAATGGTTTGGTAAGCAATCGCCTTTCTACCGTCGCCTTCTATTCATGTTCGCCTCCTCGCGAGCTCGCATGTATCTGAACCGCGACTACATGTTCTGAGGGACCTCGGGGAGTGAAATAAACTGACTGAATAACTGACTGACCGACTGACCGAACTTCATTCGTTACTTTGTCATTGAATGACTGACTGATTAGTAATCCCTCGAACTGCTCGGCTATACAGACTGACACAAGCCTAGAACTATCGCTTGCTGGCTTCAAGGAGTTATCTTCCTCCTGAGAGCATTCACTGACTGAGTAGTTCACCGTACGGTATACAGCACCTCGAACCGTCCATTCGTCGAGAGCCGCCGCGGCGGCGCTGTGTGCATTATCACCACTACTCGTCAACAGTGCGATAGTTTATTCCTCCAAGATCTTCTTCAAAGAAGAATAGAAGAAGAAGAAGAAGAAGAAGAAGAAGAAGAAGAAGAAGAAGAAGAAGAAGACGAGAAAGAAAACATTTTCTCTGTTTCATTCCGATCGTTATCGTCTCAGTCATGTACCGCGCCTCTTTCGGCGACGAAATCCCGAGCCTTCGCCTCATGGCGATCGCCAGCGACCCGTCGCCTGCGACGACGCAGCACCTGCTCCCCACCTGCGAAATCTGCAGCGACGTCGTCGGCTTATCGTCGTCGCCGGCGGACGACGACGGGCGACGGCGGCCGTTCGTCGCATGCTCTCACTGCGGCCTCTCCTTCCCCATCTGCCGCGCGTGCGTCGCGTACGAGCGCAAGCACGGTGCGAACGCGTGCCTCAACTGTAAACTTCCGTACGACTGTAGCGAAGGGAGTGATTGCAACGAAGCGACTGGCTGCAACGCATCGTTTTTCGACGTCGAAACGCGTCGCGGTGGCGCTGCTGCCGCAGCTGCCCCTGCTTCCGCTGCTAGAGCTGCTACTCCCGGGGAGCAGCAGGGGGCGGACGGGTGGGAGCTTCATGGATTGGAGAGTGAGGGATCCTGGGTCGGCAGCAGTAAGGCCGGCAGCAGTGGGCGAGAGCGCGCGTCCGACGGTGATGCTCACTCCGCGACCGCGGAGAGGGCGGAGCAGGCGGAAGGGGCGGGGCGGGCGGAAGGGGCGGGGCGGGCGGAAGGAGCGGGGCGGGCGGAGCGGGCGGAGAGGGATGCGGCAGTAGCTGTTGCTGCTGCTGTTCCTGCCACAGGGGTCGGTGCTTCAGTGTCTAGGGAGGGCGCGAGGCAGGGAGAGGCGGCGCGTTTCTGTTGGCAGCTTCAGCAGCAGGAGGAGAAGCAGCAGCAGCAGTCGTGGGGTTATGCCTGGAAACAACAACACATGCCCGCACATCTGGCCCCACACCTTCCCGCACACCTTCCCGCACACCTTCCCGCTCGCCTGCCCGCTCGCCTGCCCGCCTCCGCCTCAGTTCCTCAAATTGTACATCCCCCTCCTACTACCGTAATAGAGGTGACGCCTTACCCTCCGCCGGATGTGGCTGCAGTAGCGGTTGCAGCAGAATTGCAGCAGCCAGAGCAGCAGCAGAAAAGGCAACAGCAGCAGAGCCAGCAGCAGCAGTATAAACATCGGAAGCAGCTGCCACCGACTTCCCCTCTACTATCGCACCACGAAGATCGTCCTGTAACCATCCCCATCCCTCGCATCTATTCCTTCTCTTCCATTTCTCCCATCCCCCCCATCCCTCCTTTCGACCCTGCCACGCCTACCAAGCAACCCACTCAATCCTCCTCCACCACCTCCTCCTCCTCCTCCTCCTCCTCCTCCTCCTCCTCCTCCTCCTCCTCCTCCTCCTCCTCCTCCTCCTCCTCCTCTGCCTCCTCTGCTTCAGCCTTTCCTTTACTGCACGCCCGCAACTTATCCCCCTCCGCCTCCCCCTCAGTCCCCCCCTCCCCATGGGCGGCAAACCACTCCCCCTGCACTCCCCTTCCGCCTTCCCCTTACATGCTCCGCGGATTATCCTCCCCCTCCTCCCCCTACACCCCCCCCTACCCCCCTCTGGTGCATCTCCCCCCTCCTGCTCTTCCTAATGCTACTATGCATCACACCACACCCGATCCTTCTGCTGCTTCTCCCCACTATTTCCCCACCCACGCTCCCAACGCTATTGCACCTGCTGCCGCCGTTCCTCCCCCTTTCAAACTGGCCGAAAGTGCAGTAATGCCATCGGCAGCTGCAGCAGCAGCAGGAGCAGCGGCGCATGGAACGATGCCCGCCCCTTTAGGCAACCTATTAAAGCCTCTGACCCGGGAGCAGCAGCTGCTGCTGTGGCAGAAGGAGCTGGAGAGGCGGGCGGGAGAAGGAGCAGGAGGAGTGAGGGCTTTAGACCCTGAGAAGGACCAAGCAGTGTATGGGTATGGGAGTGTGGTGTGGAAGGGGAAGGGAGGAAAAGGCGGCAGAGGAAAGGCAGAAGTTGTTGCTACTGCTACTGGCGGTGCTGCTGCCACTGCTGCTGCTGGTGCCGCTGCTGGTGCTGCTGACGGTACTGCTGCTGTGCCTCCGCCCATGCCTCTTCCTCTCCCACCTCTCCCATCCATCCCTCCCGCCTCTGAATCTTCTTCTGCCGATGCTCCTCCTGCATCAGAGTCTGCTCTTAAAGCACTTGACCCGTACCAATCCCAGTCCCATCTCGCCCTGCTGCTACCCACCAACGCTGGGACCAACAATCTCGTAACCGTTAACGAGCCGTGCTATAACGGGTACAGGAAGTTTCACACTGGAAAGAGTGCACAAGGAAGGGGAGGAGGTGGACACGAGGAGGAGGGGGAGGATGATGTCCCTACTGCTGATGAATCCCGACAGCCGCTTTCCCAGAAGCTTCGCCTCCCAGCGTCTCTCGTCAACCCGTACCGACTCGTTATAGTCCTCCGCCTTATAGTCACAATCCTGTTTCTGCGCTGGAGGATCCTCAACCCCAACACCAAATCCATCCCCCTATGGGCTACCTCAGTAGCATGCGAAATCTGGTTCTTTCTATCCTGGATATTTGACCAGTTTCCCAAGTGGACGCCGGTCAAGCGAAGAACCTTTCCGGGCAGGCTTTCGGTCAGATTTGAAAATTCCGCTTCTGGGGTGTCCGGACTCGCACCAGTGGACGTTTTTGTCTCTTCTGGGGACCCTAGATCGGATCCTCCTCTTACCACAGCCAACACCCTCCTTTCTATACTCGCTATGGACTACCCCACTGACCGCGTATCGTGCTATCTCTCCGACGAGGGCGCTTCTCTGCTGACCTTCCAAATGGTGGGTCTAGTTGCGGAATTCGCCCGTCTCTGGGTGCCCTTCTGCAAGAAATACAGCATAGAGCCGAGAGCACCTGATGTGTACTTTAAGCAAAAGGCATTCCCGGGAGGAGGAGCGGGAAGAGGACGGGGAGGAGGAGGAGGAGGAGTGAATGGGGGAGGAGGGGCTGCTGCTTATGTTAGTGTTGCTGGTGCTGATGCCTATGTTGCCGGTGCTGCTGACAACGATGGTGGCTTCAACAAATGTGGGTCCGCTGATGATGGGATAGCAGGCTCTCGTGCGGACATTGCCAGTGGTGGGTGGGACAGCAGCAGAACTAGCAGCAGAACTAGCAGCAGCCGCAGCTGCACCAGCGGCAGCAGCGGCGGCAGCGGAGGGAGCTATCTTTCTTCCCAGACCCACCCTTCCTTCCTCACGGATCGCCGCGCGGTGAAGTCTGCTTGGGAGCATACCAAGATGCGGTTTAACAAGATGAGCGCGAGGTGGGAGGAGGGGCTGGAGAGGGGCGAGTGGAGCATGGATGATGGGATGCCATGGCCTGGGAGTAGACCACATGATCACCCTGCTATGGTGCAGGTGCTGCTGGGACCCAGTGGTGGGGGTGCTGGTGGGGGTGGTGCTGCCGCTGGTTCTGCTGCTGCTGCTGTTGGTGGTGCGGCGGGTGAATTTGAGAAGGGAACGAAAAGGAGCGCCGAGAAGAGAACTGGGGTAACAGGGAACGGAACGGCGAGTGGAACAGAGAAGGGGACAGAGAAGGCAGCAGAAGAGGCAGCAGATAAGGACGATAAGGGAGCAACGGAAGCAAATGAGCCTGCCAGGGGGACTGCAGCAGCAGGAGCATTGGAGGGTATCAGACTACCTCGCCTGGTATACGTGGCACGGGAGAAGCGGCCGGGTTACAACGAGCACGGCATAGCAGGGGCGCAGAATGCTCTGCTGCGCGTCTCTGCTCTGCTCTCCAACGCACCCTTCCTCCTCGCCCTAGCCGCCAACCACTATGTCAATAACGCAGCTGCTCTTAGAGAGGCTATGTGCTTCCTCATGGATGGGAGTGGGGGTGTGGGTGCGGGCACGGGTGCGGGTGCAGGAGGGGATGGGATGGGGGACGGGGTGGGGGGAGGGGTGGGGAATAAGTGCTGCTTCGTGCAGTTCCCTCTGCGGTTTGATGGCGTGGATGAGAGCGACCGATACGACAACCACAACACGGTGTTCTATGATGTGAGTATTCCTCCTCTTGACCTCTTGAGAGTTGTCAAAGGTGTTTTCTCTCTGGTTTGATGGCGTGGATGAGAGTGACCGATACAACAACCACAACACTGTGTTCTATGATGTGAGTACTCTGTCCTTCCCCTCTTCCTCACCATTCACTCTCATTCACACTTGGAGCTGATGCTGCAATTAAATTCGTCTTTTCTTCACCCCGATCCCCCATCTCTTTAATCTTAATTGCAATTGCATGAACTGGGCGGCATCCGGGTATGTTGAAATCACTTTTGAGAATTCTCAAAAGCAATTGCAATTGCAATTGCAATGAACTGGGTGGCATTCGGGTCCGAATGCTCGATCAGGGCTCATGTCTCATTCAATTCTTGCATGTTCCCTACCCACTTCCTTCGCCCCATATCCACCATCTTTCCCTTCTCTCAGCTTCATATGCTCGTCCGCCCATGTCTCACTCAGTTTCTGTATCCTTCCTTCCCATCCTCCCTTCGCCCTGCCCTGCCTCCCGTCCCTTGCTCCTCTCAGATACGAATGAATGCTCTGGACGGCATCCAAGGACCCATGCTCATCCGCTCATGGCTCACTCACTCAGTCCATTCCCCCATTCCTCCCTTCCCTCCCTTCCCTCCCTTCCCTCCCTTCCCTTACTTCACCCTGCCTTGCCTCCCATCCCTTCCTCCTGTCAGATACAAATGCCAGCTTTGGACGGCATTCAAGGCCCCATGCTCATGGGATCAGGCTGCTGTTTCCGCAGGCAGGCACTCTATGGGGGTAAACCCCCTGGGACTCAGGATGGCAGCAGAACTACCCACCGTAGCAACAGCAGCAGGCGAAGCAGGGGTGGCAGCAGCAGCAGCAATGGTCGGAGCAGGAGCAAGGGCAGGAGCGGGAGTGGCAGTAGCAGCAGAAGCGGAATACAGAGCAGCACCATCACCAGCAGAGGCCAGAGCAGCAGCAGTGGCCAGAGCAGCAGCAGTGGCAAAGCCACTAACACTAGCAGCAGCAGCATCACTAGCACCACCGCTGCAAGCAGCACAAGCAGCACCAGCAGCACGAGCACATTCAACCCTGGTCTTTCCTGGTTCTTCTGGGGACGAAGGAAAGCCCAGCAGGAGAAACCAGCCAAGGGAGAGGCAGGGGCAAGCACAGCAGCAGCAGGAGCAGAAGCAGAATCCGGTGGTAGCAGTAGCAGTGGTGGTGGTGGTGGGGAGGTGGTGGTGGATATTGATAGGGACGCACGCTTGGATACAATGCGCAGGCGAAGCGGAGGAACCTCTATCTCTGCTGCTGCTGCTGCTGCTGCTCTTTCTTCCCCTGCTGCTGCTACCTCTGCTGCAGATGGTAGCGCTACCACCCACTCCCTGGTGCCCTTCTCAAACTACCATCTCACTGCCATGCATGCCAAGGCCGATCCACACGCCACAGCCGGTTCAACTTTCCCTGATTCGAGTGTGGCTAGAGACGACGGGGACGATACAGAGGACACAGAGGCTACTCCTCTGATGGAAATGAAGCGGTACGAGCGGCGGTTCGGCAAGTCCCCTCTGCTCATCCTCTCCTCCTTCCACGACGCCAGATACACACCCGCAGCGAGAACAGCAGCAGCACTGCCAGCAGCTCCACGAGCAGCAGGAGCAGCAGCAGGAGCGGCAACACAACTCTCCTCGTCAGGCACATGGCAGAGCACCGCACTAGTCTCCCAGGGGACTCTGCTCAAAGAAACCATTCGGGTGCTCTCTTGCGGATATGAGGAACACACTGACTGGGGCAAGCACGTAGGGTGGCTGTATACCAACCCACTCGCGCACCCGCTCGTCTCCGGTCTCACCCTGCACTCCCGAGGCTGGCGGTCGCTCTACTGCTGCCCTCCCCGCCCTGCTGTCATCGCCTCCTCCTCTTCCTCCCTTTCCTCGCCCCCGTCCACTTCCACCTCCTCCGCCTCTTCTCCCTCCTCCTCAGCACATCTCAACCTCTCAGACCGTCTACACCAGGTCCTTCTCTCATCTATTGGCGCGACCGAGCTCGCTCTCTCCTCCCGCTCCCCCGTGTGGTTCGGCCTCCGTCACGGCCGCTTAAAGCTCCTGCAAAGAATCGCCTACATCAACACAGTCCTCTCTCCCTTCACCTCACTCCCTCTCCTCATCTACTGCCTCCTCCCCGGCCTCTGTCTCCTCTCTAACTCCTTCATTCTCCCTAAGATCACCACTGTTGCCGTGCTGTATCTGCTAGCTCTTCTCGCGGTGGTGATGGGTACTAGTGTTCTGGAGGTGCAGTGGAGTGGGGTTACGCTGACGGACCTGTGGAGGGCGGAGCAGTTTTGGGTGGTTAGCGGTGTGTCTGCGCACCTCTTTGCCGTTTTGCAAGGGGTTCTGAAGGTGGTTGCTGGGATCGACACCAGCGTCGCAGTGAAAGAGAATCTAAATTCTGCGACTGCTGCTGGTTCTGCTGGCGCTGGTGCTGGTGATGACAAGGATGGGGAGCATTCTGAACTGTACACCTTCAAGTGGACTGCTCTCCTCCTCCCGCCTGCCTTGGTGGTGGGTTTCAATGCTGCCGGGATCGTTGTGGGTATAGCCCAGGGTCTCAATGGAGGATTGAGTGCGTGGGGAATGATGCTCATAAGGGTGGCCTTCGCCCTGTGGGTAATCATGCATCTACACCCCTTTATTCAGGGTTTCTTCGGTAAGGAAAGGAGGCTGCCTCCTCTCGTATTGATATGGGGCGTCCTGCTGTCGTCGGTGCTGACGCTGCTGTGGGTGAACATCGATCCTTTTGGGTATCACTTCAAAGGGCCTGACCCTGTTCTCTGTGGTATTCGTTGCTAGATACCCTTTTATGGCTTCGGGTGTAGGTAGATATATGATGCTTTATTAATTGAATAACATTTCTTCATGATGTGCCTGTGAAGATTATCCTTTTATGCTTAAAAATAGTAACAGACTGACCATTACCTGAATCATGTAGGCCTGCTGGTAAATAACAACCACATGCCTTTTGTGTTTCGGTATCATCTGTCGCATAAGGATGTATGCACTTCCATAAGTGTTTCTATTGTAAGGATGCGGATTATAAGTAGGGTTTCTTGCCCTCACTACCCTAAGTAACAAGGTTGGAGCGTGTGGCTGAAGCCGTGGGCTGGGTGGAACTGGCAATGGGCAGTTGCGGGCTGGGGAACAGGCAGCGTTACCTTCACGCAGAGTCCGGGCACGATTGGTGGTTCAGGAAGTCAAGGCTTTCAAGCTTCTGCGTTACTATTGGTGGGAAGGTTCACCAACACGTGTGTAATTTCCCGCCCTAAAATCAAACGTGGAGTCGACAAGGGGCCAACATCATAGGCATGCAAATTAGTCTGGTAACCCTATGCAATTGTATGCAAAACCGTCGATACCTCAGTTTTGGAGTTATTGACATTTTCCCTGATCATGCGTTCGTGTTTCGTGAAACAACTGATCCATACCGCGCTTGTCTTTTCTCTAAACTATGATTTTTCCGGGGAACTGTTTCTGCCAGATGAACAACACTATGCACTACACCTGACCCAAGAAAAAAAAAACAATCGGAAAGGGATGGGACTCAGGGAGGCATCAACCCTAAAAACAATGCCCTTTCCCGTGTCCAGGGTTGATCCCTCCCGGAATGACGTCCAGGTCCCTAGGGGTTTTATATTGTTCTCTGCCCTGCCCTAACTGTTATCTGTAGCAATATATTGGGTGCAATATATTGTTACAGAATGGACCCAGTATACTTTAATTCCAACGGAATTTCCCGGTAAATGTATCGTGCACATTTAGCGGAAAATTGTTGCCCGCAGGAGTCTTTTTAAGGCGCCAAACAAGGCGCCGCAAGAACCACCAAGATACGAAATCGAATACGCAACCGATTATATCACATATTTCTTCCTTTTTTGTGCTGCGTCAGAAGTTAAACAGTGTTCTGAGTGGCGGTACCAGAGAAAATTGCGAAGCAGAACTGGGGTATCGACGGTTTTGCATACCATTGCATAGGGTTACCAGACTAATTTGCATGTCTATGATGTTGGCCCGTCGACAAGCGTCAAGTGTACGCGAGCGACAGCCTTCTTCCTGCGCGCCAAGCCAGCCTCTCTCGTTCGCCAACCCCCGCCCCTTCCCAACAGATCCCACGGTCGCAGAGTCGCACACAATTCTGTTCAGTCCACCAGAGTCCTGACGGAAGCCCAACAGCAGCTCGACGGGATCCGTCTCTCAGTCCAATGTGTGAATGTGTAAATTCGGTCCATTTTTTCCAGCATGGTAGTCCATTCCCGGAGTTGCAATTCCCATCTTGCATTCGAGGTTAATCCCAATTCCACGGTTCCTCGCCGTCCGCCGCCGCAAACCCCGAGTACCAACGCATTGCCCGGCGTCGCGTGATTAGAACCACGGCCCGTGACCTGAACGAGGCAATTTTCGCTCAACTTGGCTTTCACGCTTCAGGCCACGCTTGCACATGGCGGATCACGTCGCAGGTCCTATCCCCGCATCTCACGGTGCAGCGAGAAATTCCCGCAACCGGGTGAACTTTATGAAAGCCGCGCGTGGGCTATCCTCCGATTTAACGAGCCTTCACGAAGCGTTTCGCGATTTTCAGGAGGACCATCGCCGGAACGTCGCATCCGCCGAGCCGTCGAAGCTTCGCGCGTGGGAGGTTGCCGCTGCGAAAACCCTTGCGAGGAATCATAAGTTACTGCGCGGTTTCAGGCGACAATTGGTCGAGCTGATGTCGGATAATCAAGTAAAGGTTTCAGTTTCTGGGAGCGAGGCTATGGAAAGGTGGCGTTCTCAGCAGCAAAAGATCCGGCAGCAGCAGCAGATTCGCCAGCAGCAGCAGCAGCGTCAGCAGCAGCAGAGGCAGCGGAACCATCAACCTGATTCGCTTGAGTCTGGCCGTCAGTCCCAGACTCTTCCCGCTCACGTGCTCCCAGCGGCTCGTTCTCTCCCAAACGCTGTGATCGAAGAAGGGATGGTGGACGCGGGTGGAGTCCAGGAAAACGAACACGGGCTGGAAATTGGAACCAGCACAACCGGTGTGATGAATGCTTATAATGGCATGAATGGGGATGACTCCTCTACGGGGTTGAGTAGCCACGCTGGCATCGCCGCTGGTGGAGCCAGTGCCACTGCTGCCCGTGCTGCTGGTTGCAATGATACGGGCGGGGGTACTGGAATCACAAACCCGTTGGAGATGGTCGCATTGTGCCTGCAAGCGCGGTTGAGTGAGACGTGGAGGCTGCTAGACAGTGTAGACGCGGAGATCACGGGGAAATACCAAGGCAGGCGGACCAATGAGAAGGATGCCAAGAGCAGGGCGGCACTGGTGAAGGGGTGGGCGTTCAATGACACTAGGCTGAGGATGCGAGCCAAACGAATGAAGAAATGAATTGCGAGTCAAGAGTATGAAGAAGGGGTGGGCGTTCAATGAAGGGTGCTGGTAACTGGTCTTGTATCGAGCCCATCTGAGTCCACAAGTGGTGTAAATAGATTACATGCATGTAATGCATTACCCACAATAATAGCACACTTAGATACAGCATGGCCCAAAACATCAAACACACTATTGCCTGCCTACCTGCCTGAACCTGCACCTCACCTACGCCCTCGCTTCAAGCAAACAAATCACTGGCATATGGACGTTTCATATCATAAGCATGTCCCATGCCCTTAGCTCCCCTGCACTGACACCTCCTACCACAGCAGCAAGCACCTCCTTGCGGTGATCTCTCACGCACACAACGCTCCTCTCTCCAAGCGCCTACAGCAGCACAGGTCCCCCCTCGCCTCCAATGTGAGGCGAGGTGCCTAAAAAATCCCCAACAGCTGCGAGCATCTGCTCTCAGTAGCCCCGCACGTACATGATCCTCCCCTATCCCAGCTTTTTGGATCGGCTCAACAATTCCCTCCCGCTGATACCTCCTCCACAGCAGCAAGCATCTCCTTGCAGTGGTCGCGCACACACATGACGCTCCTCTCTCCCAGCGCGTACAGCAGCGCAGGGCCCCTTGCGTCCAGTGTGAACCCCACAGACGCCATGATCATCATCGCATCGCCCAGCATCGCCAACAGCAGATCTCTCTTGAAAAGTGACACTGAAAGATGGGGTAGGGGCGGTTGCTGCTCCTGCTGAGGCTCCTGCTCCTGCTGCTCCTTCCGCTGTTCCTGATAGCACTTCTCATAATTCTTCAAGTATGCCTCAACAACCTCCTCTTCACGCCCAGCGCGCGATACCGGTTGCAGGGACGAAAGCAGCAGCCGAGCCAGGTCTACAACGCCCGGTGCGCCTGCAGCTGTGTCCTGAAAGTCTATCAGCAGAGCCTCGTTCTTCCCCCGGTGGTACAGTACGTTCCCAGGGTTCGGGTCCCCGTGAAGAATCCCCCCTAGGCGGCTGGTACCGCTGCTGATTTCGCTGCGATCAGAGGCGGGATGCGCGGCGGAGGGGAGCGTGACAGGGGGGAGTGTGATTGCACGCATCAGCCCTGCATACCCTACCCGCGCGCTTGCGGCACACAGCGCGTGCAGCGCACTCCCTGGCTCGGCATCGGCCGGGCAGAACCGGGCGGCGAACTGGAGCATGAGGGCGGCGAGCTTGTCGGCGCTGTGCTCCACGGGGATCATCACCCGGGCGGCGCGAGATTCAATCAGCTCGTCCCACGTGAGCAGCTGATTCACGGTCCCGGACACGGCGCCCTGCACCTCCCCTGCACCTGGAACACCCGCGCCAGCGGCAGCGCCAGCGGCACTGGCAACGGCAACGGCAGAGCAAGTAGCAGTGGCAGCGGCAGCGCCAGCGGCAGCGACAGTGCCAGTGACAGTGGAAGAAGCAGCAGGGCTAGAGTCAGCTGTATGCAGCACAGCGAGCGCGCGGACAGTCGCCAGCAGCGCATCCCGTTCCACATCCGGGCCTTCCGTTAACTCCATGGACCATGCTGACAGCACCTCATACCCCGCCTCGTTCCCTAATTCCGCAGCTGCCCCGGGCTCACTAACAGGAGCAGTGGTGGCAGTAGGGGTGGCAGTGGGGCAACAGCTCACATCGGCGAGTAAGATGGCTTGGTCGGGATTGGCGTGATACGCGCGCGGAACCACCGCGGCCACGTGGCGCGAACGCGGCGCCATGGCGAGAGTGTAGAACGCGGCTTCCACCCGATGCGCCTGCTTCACCATCGCGAGTATCGCGTCGCCTAGCTGGTACTGCTGCGCCGTTGCCCCTGCTGACGTGTCTGGCGGCGGCGGGAGGAGCTTCATGAAGAGTGACCTGGGCCGATTTGACGAGTCGCAGGGATCCGCGCCGAAGTCCACGCCGTGGGGTGCGCGCGAAGCATCGGTGTAGGTGACGTCGAGGCGCGCTTTGACGATCGGGGAAAAGCCGCCGGCGAATGGCCGCACGGCCACTGACGCGACGGCTGTAGCTGGAAGGCTCAGCGCGGCGCTCAGCCACGTGGGGTCCACGTGGTCTTTGGTCGGCGCAGGCAGGGAGGCGACTTCGGATGCACCAGTGCACGTGGGTGATGCGGCAATAGGCGCCGCAACAGGCGCCGCAAAAGGCGCCGCCGTAGTCGCCGTAGGGAGTGAAGTCGACGCCATGCGGAGGTTGGTGGTTGAGTTGCGGTGCGGTGGAATAGGGTAACGAAACGGTGTTTACGGCGGGGCGCCTGAACGAAACGGCGGGATGAGTTCAGGTGGGGTGCGGTGCGGTGAGATAGGTTAACGGAAGGGCCTAGACAAAAGCCACTGCTGTTGATGCTCCAGGAAGAAGAGAATTTCCTGAAATGCGTCAAAGCGTTTGTCGGATACAAACGCAATGGACGGGAAAGCAAGTTGGCCAATGGCCAACCATCAATCCCCCGCGATCGACAAGCCAATTTGCGCCCACCAGATAGCGGTTACTAGCACCACAATTTTAAGTAGCTTAGGGCAGGAGCGGAAACAATTTACCCCATTGGGAGTGTCCTGCGAATTGGGAAATATACACTCTGAACATGGAATTGATCCCCGAGTTCACGACATCAAGATATCCATTCCGACGGGGTTTAATTATATTGCTCCTGCCCTAAAACACTGTTTCTCATCGCCTGGTTTCGTAAAACCCGAAACCTTGAGTTAAGCTAACCTGAGTCGCGATTCGTTAAGCTATAACGCGTAAAGCTCTCAAGGCGCTTTGATAATGCTTTGGGGTATATCTTCCCCACATTGGGGACAAGGGCCATGGTTGGAATTATTGCGTTGACAACACAATTTGGGAAACATGTTACCCTCTAAAGTTTGTCCCGTCGAAGCCAACCCGTCCCGAATCCAGATGCACCATGCCCTTAGAAGTTACAGCCCAAGTATGAATCTTCATCATCACAGCAGCTAGAGAATGCGAGACAACGAGAGAGCAGGGTGGACAAATACGTAACTACGAGACATGACTGTAGTCACTGTACTAGGTGATTCACGCATTAGCACTGGCAGCAGTGGCATCCGTGAGTTTTTCCTTTAGGAACTGTTCAATGTGCTCCATCTTCCAGTTCTCAATCCTGAAAGACGAATCAGGAAAGAACGAGACATGTCCGGAAGGGGAAAGAGGAGTATGAGTGAGTGAGGGCATGGAGGAACGGGGGTGGGGTGTGGGGGGTAAGGGGGAGAAGGAGAGGGGAGTGTGGGAATGAAGTGGGGCAAACCTGGTGGTGAACTCAGCAAAGGTTCAGTAGTCTTTAGGTGACCACATAATGACGTCACCAGCATTGGCATGACTCACCTGATGACATCAGCATTCTTTCCCTCAGCGTCCTTCATAATGAGCTTGGGGAGAGCGTTGATTCGGTAGCGGACCTGGTACAGGCGAGAGTGGGAGAGAAAGCAGGGAAAGAGAAAGAAAGAGAGTGTCCGAGAGAGAGGTGGGGGGGGGCAGAAATAAGGAAAGAAAAAAATACATGTTTTGGAAGGGATGGGGAGAAGAGAAGGACGTGGCAGTAAGGTGGCGGGTGGGATGGGATTGAGAGGAATGTAGAGTGCAAGTTACAACAGGAGGAATGGCGATTGGAGCAGACAGGAAGATGAGTTGGAAGAGGAGGGGATAAGGAAGGAAAGAGAGTGAGGAAGAAGGAACGTGAGAGACAAACGGAATCATTATTTCCCTTTTCTGGTCCGGGGTGGGGCAGCGGAAAGGGACAGTAAAGCCCAGAAGCGAGAATGGGCAGCAGGATGGGAAGGGAGATATGGCGGAAAACTAGTGTATGCGAGCATGCGAGTCTCTGAGCTAGAGAGGAGCGTGGGAGACGGAAAACTGGCGCGGGTGGGGAGGGTGGGGGGGACACCAGATGGTGAAGGAAGGTAGCAGGTTGGGATAGCTAGCCACCTTGGTTAAGATGATTTTTGCAACGACTGGCTTTTGCGTGGACTAAACAATCACCTGTAGGTTGGGGAAGCTGGGCGCCTTGGTTTCAATAAACTCTGCAACGACTGGCATCCACTGCACGCGCCTCATGCACACCTCCAGGACTGCCGATGCATACTGGCACAAGGGGAAGGGGAAAAGGGAAGGGATGGGTGGTGTGAACCACGAGAGGGGAGGGATGGAAGAAGAGACAATTGTCTCAGAAGTGACTAGAATGACAGCTGACAGAGGACACTGCACGCGCCTCATGCACGCCTTCAGGACTGCCGATGCGTACTGGCACGAGGAAAAGGGGTGGGTGTGAATCCCGAGAGGGAAGACGAGAGAGAGGACGCAAGGGGTAGGAGGCAAGAAAGAGGAGGCCAGGGGTAGGAGGCAAGGAGTATGAGGCAAGGAGTATGAGGCAAGGAGTATGAGGCAAGGAGTATGAGGCAAGGAGTATGAGGCAAGGAGTATGAGGCAAGGAGTATGAGGCAAGGAGTATGAGGCAAGGAGTATGAGGCAAGGAGTATGAGGCAAAGGACATGAGACGAGGGATATCAGACAAGAGATAGACAAGGGACATGAGTGGATTGTTTCAGACGTGACTAGAGTGACATCTGGCAGCGCACCCACTGCACACTTTTGAGACGTCTCAAAAGGTCATCTGGCAGGGGATCCACTGCACACTCGCCTCATACAGGCAGCCATCCAGCACTGCCGATACAACTGGCATGAATGAATCAAATAAGATCAGGGAAAATCAGTATCGAGGACGAGAAACGGAAGGCAAGGGAGTGACACTGGAAAGGAGGGTAATGGAGGGGAAGGGAGTGGAACAGGAGATGCGGGAAAAGGAGGAAAAGGGAAGGGAAGGGAAGCAGGGAAAGGAAGGGACCTGCTGGGTGGACGTGTCTTCGTCAGTGACACAGCAGCTGCGACACTCCGCCTCGAGCTCTGCATGCATGCACGGAGGATGGGAGGAACGGAGGATGGGAGGGAGGGAGGATGGGAGGGAAAGGAATGTCGAGTCACGTCGAGGAGAAACGGCTTCCTAGAACAGTTGGGTGGGTCTCATCACAGGAATTGGAGTGATATTGAAGATACAGTTAGGTTAGGTAAGGTTAAGCAAAGTACGGAGACGCGTATCGATGGGCGGGAAAGGAAAATTTGGGATGAAGTGATTGGATGGACGATGCACGACGGACGCTCGCTCAAGAAATGACGGGATCAGCCCCCGAATTCGAGATCGCGCTCCGTTGAATGTAGCATTGCGTGTTGCGATCCAAGCAGATAAGTACGACGATAGTAGAAGATAGAATACGCTTAGATGTTCCCCCCACTCACTGGCGTCTTTTACGAAAGTGGCGAGTTGGTCACAATCGGAGCAGAGAGCAAGCCCCGTGAAGCCCAGCGCTTCGCATTCTTTAGGAGAGAGAGTCGTGGCATGGGAGCAAGATAGGAACAGCAGCGAGAGAGACGCGAGCAGAATAAGCCGAGCGGAATTCACGCTGTAAAGCGCCGCGAGGGTGTTTCGCGTCGCCATCTAGGACGCTGATGGCAAGCGAGGTGGCTAGTTACTGCTGGCGCAGAGACTAAGCGATCGTAACGTTAGATGTTGTGTGACAAAGAATCAACTCAACTTAAAGCCCGCGTCTCATATTTCACAACTCCCAACCAAGTGTAATACGTTTGAAACCGGGTAACCACTCAAGCAGTCGCAACTTTGTTGGGTTTGGTTGGGAGCACTTGCGATTGGCTGCAGCCCCAACAGGCTGGGGAAGGCAGATGCACGACTACCGAACTGCATTCGCGCGAAACACACCACCAAGTGCGACGAAGGCAGAGCACACATGGAACCAAGCGTAATACCACAGCAGAAATAATATGAGACAGTTGAGCAACCACTTTTCATTCCAGCCCTAGACTCTTTCCAACAACTTAGTTTAGCCTAGGGTTTGTTCATGGCTGTTCATTACTATTTTGTACAAAATTTCATGCATATCTGCGAGTGTTCGGACGGCTCATCGTAATGGTCGATCGTACGGCTATTTCCTGCGCGAAAACCAGGAGGAATAACATAGCAATAGCATATCCGCACGCGCGACGAGGGACGAAGTGGGACGGAAGGAACGATACGGAAAGGGACGCGACGGGACGGGAAGTGACGCGACGGAAGGGGAAGGGACGTGACGATGCGGGAAGAGACGTGACGGGACTGGACGGGACGCGACGGGACTGGACCGGGCGGGACGGGACCCGACGGAACGGGTGGGGACTCGACGGGACAGGACGGGACGAGACGGGCGGGATGGACCGCGACTGGACGAAACGGGACTGGAAGGGACGGGAGGAAAAGGGAGGAGACGCGCCGAAATTGAATGGACGATCCAGGACGGGAAGGGGAGGGGGAGGGAAGGGATGTTGAGCGACGCGCAATTCTAGGTCCCGGGTACATCCGGGAACGGGAAGGGACAGGAAGGGATGAGACGGAAATGAAAGCGCCGGAAAGGTGAGGAAAGGGACGGGAGGAGACGCGCCGATATGAGAAGGGACGGGAGGAGGCGCGGCCGGTGAATGGGTGTGAACGGGTTCTGTGGTGCGGCAGCTGCTGCTGCTGCACATCCACCCCATCCCCCTTCCCTTCCCCCATCCCCCGTCCCTTCCACGTACCCCCCTTCCCACCCCCCATCCCCCTTTCCCTTCCCTTCCCCCATCCTCTCTCCCTTCCCCGCATCCCCCTTCCCTTACCCCATCTCCCTTTCCCTTCCCCCATACCTCTCTCCCTTCTCTGCATCCCCCTTTCCCTCCCCCCGTCCCCTTTCCATTCCGCATCTCCCTCTCCCTTCCCGCATCCCCATTTCCTTCCGCGTCTCCCTTTCCCTTCCCCCATCCCCTTTCCCTTCCCCGCATCCCCTTTCCCTTACCCCATCTCCATCTACCTTCCCCCATTCCTCTCTCCCTTCTCCGCATCCCCCTTTCCCTTCCCCTATCTCATATTCCTTCCCCGCAATCCCCCATCCACTTTCCCTTCCCCATCCCCCTTTCCCTTCCCCATCCCCCATTTCCTTCCGCCCTTTCCTTTCCCTTCCCGCATCCCCTTTCCCTTCCCCGCATCCCCTTTCCCTTACCCCATCTCCATCTACTTTCCCCCATTCCTCTCTCCCTTCTCCGCATCCCCCTTTCCCTTCCCCCATCTCATATTCCTTCCCCGCAATCCCCCATCCACTTTCCCTTCCCCATCCCCCTTTCCCTTCCCCATCCCCCATTTCCTTCCGCCCTTTCCTTTCCCTTCCCGCATCCCCTTTCCCTTCCCCGCATCCCCTTTCCCTTACCCCATCTCCATCTACTTTCCCCCATTCCTCTCTCCCTTCTCCGCATCCCCCTTTCCCTTCCCCCATCTCAGTTTCCTTCCCCGCAATCCCCCATCCCCTTTCCCTTCCCCATCCCCCTTTCCCTTCCCGCATCCCCATTTCCTTCCGCCCTTTCCTTTCCCTTCCCGCATCCCCTTTCCCTTCCCCGCATCCCCTTTCCCTTACCCCATCTCCATCTACCTTCCCCCATTCCTCTCTCCCTTCTCCGCATCCCCCTTTCCCTTCCCCCATCTCAGTTTCCTTCCCCGCAATCTCCCTATCCCTTCCAACCACACCCTTTCCCTTCCCCATCCCCCTTTCCCTTCCCCCATCCCCTTTCCATTCCGCATCTCCCTTTCCCTTCCCCCATCCCCTTTCCCTTCCCCGCATCCCCCTTCCCTTCCCCCAAGCCTCCCTCCCTTCCTCCCTTGACAGGACGCACGGGAAGGAGGAAGGGACAAGTCAAGACATTCCAAACTCCAGTGTGAAACGAAGGGTGCAAGGGCAAATAACGGGCAGAAGTGATGAAGTGGGGGGGCGTTCCATGTGCCTCATGCTCACATCAGGATCACATGGGTTGTGTCAGCCACACTTACGTGCTGGTTCTTTTTCGTATGTAAATTCACTAGAAGTAGAAGCCTCTATTCTAGTTTCCCTACCATATCTCGACCTATAAATGGTTGCAAATTTTGAAACATGCATAAAAAATCACCATATGGTACATGCGTTATGCTATTCCTTCACACTACAAGTACTATTTCCACCATGAACTACCTACTCTTTACTTTCAACACCACAAACATAACTGACTTATCCCATAACTGTACAAAGAATATCAGGGTCCAAGGCATCGATGACTGCATCACTTGTCGCTTCGTTTTCTTGGGTAGACGCGAGTGCTCTTCCGTGCGACTCTCTCGAACCTTTTGTACTGGCTTTGGTGCATCCCGAGCCTTTGTGCTTGGTTCGCTTCTGGTTTGGTTCTGTTCAGGTTTCGTGTGATTTTTTCTTCCTCGTCAACTTTCATTTCGTGCCTCGCCAGCAAATCACTTGTCTGAGAAGCAAACCAAAGGTATTACGCTTGGAAATTTGAGACGCGGGTTTTAAAATTCTAGTGCTTCGGGTTGTGGAAACTCACGAGCTAGAAACACACTCGATAGAAAAATGGTGGAATCTCTAATATCCGTATCAATTAAATAATAATTTGAGAAAATGGGTAAATCAAGTAGATGTAAGGATCTCATCCAGCAATTTAAAATTTAATCACAGTAATATATTGAATTACGTAAAAATGAGACTCTTCGCAGGAACGCTCAATACAATTACAGTTCTTATACGAGATATATTCTTTACACTCAAATGTCAAAACAATGTGTTTTACCACTAAATTGTGAAATTATATACTAATGGATATTTTATTTTGTTGAAATACAATAAGTTATACTTGAGATGTCAGTTTTCTGTAGGGCGGATGCTATGTAGGCTGTTATTATCGTCAAACAGAAAACTGTACACCAATTACAAATGTGAACACTCAGCTGGGAGCAAACAGTGGGCAAATAAACTGTTTTGACGAATTGAAAACTGCTGACCTCTTGCCTATTGTAAGGATTTACAAATCCTTACTGAGGCACTCGTTAGCGAGGCCATCCCGAGGGTCACGCGACGAACCTGTTCGGCCTTTTTCGTCGCACCGAACCACCCCCAAGTCGACCTCCGCCCCAATCACTGTTGAAATGCTAGGCAGAATCAAGAAACAGAAAAGAGGGGATTTCACTAGCATGCAGTTCAGTACATATAGCAAACCCTAATTCAGGCTGTACTCGCTATAGAGTACCCCACTGCAGGCTACACAAACATCACATTCTGACACACCCCCATAGTCAAAGTGGGGTACAATCAAAACAACAAGCAGGCAAAGTAGTAGTTCACAAGTATAAGCAAAGCTAGAGGCAGTCACAGAGGGCAAGTGAGGAGGAGAAACTGTGAGGGCGAGAAGATGGGAGGCGACGGCTGAAGCTGCAGACACACAGGCAGCAGGAGTGCGCAGCACTATCGCTACCAGGCTAAACCCGGACTACACGGCGACAGGCGCAGCTGGCTCACTGTGCTCCCAGGAGTGCACACACTGTGGCTACCGGGCGCAGAGCCCCGGACTACTCAGGCCACAGGGGGTCGTGGCTCTCTGGACTACCAGGAGTGCTCACACTGTGGCTACCGAGCGCAGAGCCCCGGACTACTCAGGCTACAGGGGGTCGTGGCTCTCTGGACTTCAGGCGCTGCGGACGACAAGTCGGCTACCTCCGGTCAACCTCCCCCAACTGTCCCACACCCCGTTCACACACTCCCTGCTGCACCTCTAGCACTGCTCACACGCCACCCCCCTCGAACGACTCCGACGGCTCCAACACATCCACCCCCCTCAGCGGTAGCTGCAGCAGTGGGAGACGGAGGAGGAGGAGGAGAAGGGGACGGCTCACACACACGGCACCCCCATACTCTCCACCCCCAAACCCTAACACAGGAACGCAGGCAGCAGCGGGGGTGGGGCGCAGTCAGGAGCTCGGGGGACGGCGTGCGGCAAGGGGGGAGACAGTACGGGCCGCTCACGGGCTTGGTGCAGCCCGTACGAACCGCGCGCGGGCTGCCTGAGCCGCGCGCGGGCCTGGCGCAGCCCGTACGAGCCGCGCGCTGGGCTGGCGCAGGCCGTACAGGCCGCGCGCGGGCCTGGCGCAGCCCGTACTGGCCGCGCGCGGGCCTGGCGCAGGTCGCGCGAGCCGCGTCGGGCGACGGGGGGCGACGCGACGGTTCGACGGGGCAGAAAGCCGCCGCGCGCTCGCTGCGCGTCCGGAACGCACGGCAGGCAGGAAACAGCACGCGCCCGGGGCGCGCTACAAGCAGTAGAGCAGCGGAAGTATCGGGTGGGACCCACCCGCAGGATCGACCCAGGAGGGTCGACCTGCTCTGAGAGCATGTTGAAATGCTAGGCAGAATCAAGAAACAGAAAAGAGGGGATTTCACCAGCATGCAGTTCAGTACATATAGCAAACCCTAATTCGGGCTGTACTCGCTATAGAGTACCCCACTGCAGGCTACACAAACATCACCGAGCCATCCATTCCCGACCTCTCCGCATGGCTAGCTTTTCCCCTATTTAATTCTCGTCACTTTCATTGTATGGGCATGAAATATTCAACCATCCTCGTTATTCGTTATTCTGCGCACTCTGCGAGTTCATTCATAACACCTGGTATTAGAGTTACTTTCCTAGCCTACCCCGCTTTTTAGAGTGTAATACCCCTCGGGGGGGGGGGGGAGGGAGGGGACGAGGAAGGATGTCTTGGGGTCCAGGAGTTGCGTAGGCCGGCCGGGAGAACGAGCTAGTTGCTCCTCGCGGCCATAATTTTATGGGCACACCTTCAGCACCGCCAGATCCTTGCATCGAACGGTCGCGATCGACCGTAGCCTCCCTCCCCCCGGACAACAGATAGCTGTAGCTGTCGCGACATTAAAGTCAGTAATTTCCGCTGCGATTTCCGACGATTTCGGAGCTTGATTCGTGTGGCAGCTGGCGTCAGCGGACCTGCGTCAGCATCTGCATGAATAGCATCGACGTCGTCACTGTGTGTGGCTGTTGACGCCGACGGCTGTGCGACGATTTCGGGACCGTCCTTACGCGACAAGTTGATGTCGGTGGCACACGTCAACATGTGCACGAGATTTTCGGGAGATCCTCGGCAGCTGGCGACAACGGGCCTGCGTCAGCATGGGACAACAGCTCCGTAAGACCTCTAGTCGGTCCAGACCTGCAGGACCTCCAATAGCGCCAGGACCTCCAGCACCAGCACCTCCAGGAACAGCGGCTCCAGCAGCTCCAGCACCAGCAGCACCTCCAGCACCTCTAGCTCCAGAAGCACCTCCAGGAGCAGGCCCCGTAGCTCCAGCAGCACGGCTACAGCGCCGAGCATACCACTCACGTAGCCGCTGCGGAGAGAGGGGCTCCCGCCGTGACGGGACACCCGGAGGACCTCCAGACTCAGCACGCTCAAGCTCAGCACCCCCAGGCTCAGCACCCCCAGGCTCCACACGCTCAGGCTCAGCACCCCCAGGCTCCGCACCCTCAGACTCAGCAACCCCAGGTTTAGCACCCCAAGGCCCCGCACCCGCAAACTCAGCACCCCTAGCAGCACCAGAGTCGACAGCTACCTCGACAGGCTCGACATGGTCTACCTGGGACACACCTGAGGGGGCAGGACCCTGAGGGGGGAGGGGGTCTACCGGAGGAGCACCTGGTGCTAGGAAGAGCGGCGGGGGGGGGGGGGGGGGAGAGAGGCAGTGCTGTAGGGAAAGAGACAGTAGTAAGATACCGACTCGTCAAACGTGACGTCCTGAGAGGACAGAACACGACGCGAGGTGGGGTGGTAAAACTGCCACCCAGGTGTGTCAGGGCGGAAGCCAAAGAAGACGCAGGGAACGGCACGGGAGGGCAGCTTGTCCGCGGAAGCATTGCGGACAAAAGCTCGAGATCCCCAGACACGGAACACAGACGCATCGCCAACCTTCCCCGTCCACCGAAGAGTGGGTGTGGTCTCCGGCAAGGAGACACAAGGCTGAAGGTTGATCTGATGCGCAGCGTACTGAACCGCGAACGGCCACAGAAAATGGGTAGCAGCCGCATGGATCATGGACGTACGAGCGACGTCCATGACCATGCCAATGCGGCACTCAGCCATTTTGCTGTGGGGAGGCCGGAAGCGTGAACGTCTGGCGGATGCCCTCCGACGACAGAAGGCCCTCAGAAGGTCAGAGGAAAACTCACCACCTCTGTCTGAGTGCAGACGCAGAACAGGAAGGTCCGAGCCGAAACTCTCGCTGAGCTGGCAACGGGTACCGCGGATCCTGTCGATCAACACCTCAGTGACCTCACCCTTGCAGCGCAAGGGGAAGACTGTGGTGTAACGCGAGTAGTCGTCAACGACCAGCAGAAAATAACACTCGTGACCCTATCCACGGACGCGAGCTGGGCCCCACACGTCCATGTGAAGAGTCTGCAGGGGAGCCTCCGTCGGAGGGAACTCGGAGGAGTGAGGAGCGGCGCGCTGTCGCCCCTCGACGCAAGGAACGCAGGTAGGGGCAGGCCCCGGAGGAAGGGGAGGGAGGGACCGGGGGAGACCAGAGACAAGAGTACGGGAGGCCATACCTCGAAGACGAGGCAGGGAGGGGTGACCAAGGCGGTGGTGCAAAAGGAGATTCTCGTGCGACAGAGGACGACACGAGCAGGGGGCTGACGCCGAACTGGACCTGGACGCGGCAGCAAACACTTGACTAGACGCTACCTGACCAGACGCAGTGACCGGAGGAGATGCAGTAGTCAGTGTATACAGACTCGACCCAGGCCCACAGGTGAACGTGGCCAGGTGGCGGCCCGTCCGAGAGCAAGTGCAGCGGGTCACACGCTGACCTCCAGGGGTGAACTGGTCAACCCACGCGTCCTGAAGGTCAGCTCCACTCACCAAGTTCGTAGAGAATGAGGGGAGGTGGAGTCCCGACAGCAAGCCCGACGGGGCCACAGGATACGGTAGAACCGTGGAAGAGTGCGCAAGGACTGGGCCCCCAGAGGGGTCAGCCAGGGAGACTTCGACAGGCCGACTGAGCGGCGTGAGTGTGGTGCTGTCG